CACTAACCACTCACGGCATCCCCCTGACCCAAGCTCTCCGTCTGGCGACATAGAGACGTCTCTTTCTTCCCGCGACACCCAAAAGGTATAAGCGGCGGATAAAAGTAAAAGTAAAAGTAAAATAAATTGCCATCAATATTTTATAGGTGTGAACTACTTCTTCAGGGCGTAATGCACTCAGCATACTCAATTATAGCGACACGAAATGTGGAATCCTGTAAATAACCACCTTTCATCACAAAAAAGATGACTTTATAAGATAGTGCTCAAGTTAGAAAAGATTTTTACTGATTTACCTGAAGCTGTTGTTAGTTTCCTTAGGTTCAGGAAAACTGGAACAACCATGTCAGTTTATCACCTGTTTTCATCATGACATGTCCAGTCTAAATAATAAGAGTGCACGACAAGCGAATAAAATTGTGAACAAGTTTGTTTGTATGTGTGTGTGCGTGTGTGTGTGTGTGTGTTCCTTTTGTGTGTATGAGTGTGTATGTGTGTGTGTTTGTGTGTGAGTGAGTGTGTGTGTGTGTGTGTGTGTGTGTGTGTGTGTGTGTGTGTATTTGTGTGTGTGCATGGGTGCGTGCGATCATCAACATGTATCAAGAGAAGAAAAAGACAAGATAGCAATCAAAACTGTCTACATTTACTTGTGTATACGTAAGTGCGTTTGTATCAGGGTGTATGTGTGTTTGCGTGTGTGTTTGTGTTTGTATTTGTCTGTGGGTGGGTGATGTGTGAGTGGATGTGTGGGAGGATATGTGTGTGTGGATATGTGTGGATGGAAGTCTGTGTCGGGGTGTCTGTGTATCCAAGAATGGGCTCACGTATAAGTGATGTCCAGGAATTGTGCGTCATTGTGAAATGATACATTGGACATCTGTTGTACATTGGTTCAATGTTCGCGAACATGTCTACATGCCTTTAATTACACTGGCGACAGCTGCCTTGGAAACGCAGTACTAATAGCATAATACGAGGCACTCTCTTCGGACTTTATCATAATATTATCATGTCTTCCCTAAGAGAGTAACGGGTGTACTAAGAGAAACTGACAGAAGAGTCAGTCTTCAGATAAATTTTAAAAATATCAGTCAGAAGTAAAAGAACAAGGCTTCTGATCTGTAATGAAGAAAGATACAGAAGGTCACTTTTACCATCATCCATCAAAATTCTTCCATCTTAACCATCTTGTTATATGTATTCATATTACCTTAGAGCACGCATCAGAATAACATTTAGTTACAATCAGAATACTGATGAGTATGTATCTAGCTTAACATTAGTATTGTTTATATTATTTTTAATTTATATTCTGCGGGTGACTGTAAGCGTACGTGTGTGTGTCAATGTTTGTGTGTGTGTGTGTGTGTGTGTGTGTGTACATATGTGTACGTGGTGAAACACCAAACCAATGTGCCAGGATCTGGACAATAAAGACGCATCTTATCTATCGTATCACATCACAGCATGTGAGACATACTAATGCCCTATCTTGTTGTGCGTATGCGTGAGTGCACCTAACCTTTGCAACGCCTACTGCCATTGTAAACGACTAAGACAAATTTCTCCCTGCAAGATGAATAAAGATTTTCATTGTCATCTTCAGCATAGCCAAAAACTCTTTTTTTCATCCAAGTTGAAGTCATATTTCTGCTTTTCTCCATGAGTCGCCCGTTGAAATATGCAAGAAACAACAAAAAAAATTCCCCAAGAGTTCGAAGCCTCATCGGCCACAGGGAATTCAAGAGCTTTGCAGAATAATGATGGTGTGAATACAAGATCAAGACTGGGGATGAGAAGGTCTTAAGCCTATCCGTACGTCGTGTTTTACTATCGTATCCATACGACGTGGAGAACTCTGTGTCACCATTTAACCCTATCCGTACGTCGTGTTTTACTATCGTATCCATACGACGTGGGGAACTCTTGTGTCACCACTTAACAATATCCGTAGGTCGTGTTTTACTACCGTATCCATACGACGTGGGGAGCTCTGTGCCACCACTTTCCAAGGAGGAACTTTACTCGTTTATCCAATCCGTACGCTTTGCATAGTAATCTGCCAAAAAGATTGTTTGCGAAATACTGAAAGTTTCAAAGCGATCTTCGCGCTAGAAGTATCTAAAATGTGAAGAATACAACCCCTGAGGTACAAAATGACCCCAGGCGTACGGATAGGGTTAATAAATAGGCCAAGAACTTAAGTATATTTTATTCGACCCGTCCTACAGGTCAATAGGCATTTCTCAAAAGGTAACAACATTACGTTTACGTTTGTCACAATTTTTATTGATTGACGAATTGTTGCCAGTCTGAATGGTTTGCAAATCAACGAGGTTCTTTTTTCTCTAATAGACACGACCTAGATGCATTTTATCTTCAATAAATATGCAAACACGCAAAGATGAATTCATTCTGAGTGGTTCTATTTAGCCTAATTTAATTCGTTTCGTTTTGTTGGTTGCTTTTTTGGGGGGT